AGCTGCTGCTGGCCAGCGCCTCCTGACTGTGGCTGCACCATCCTCTTCCTCCAGGCCCGTGCTTCAGCTCTCTGCCCTGGGATCTAGCACCGCTCCCTCATCTGTCTGTGCGCTCTCCCTCCTCTCTCCTTGTAAGAGCAAAACACCATGTAGGTCCACTGAGGGGACACCGAGAAATCCAAGAGACTCCCCATCTCAGGAGCCTTAGCCACAGCCCCAGGCCTGTCGCCTACGGAAAGCAGCCATGACAAGGGTCTGAGTGTCTTCGGAGAGGAGTTTTCAGTCCACTACTTTTCAGTCCAAGCCCCAGATCACTTTGGGCAAGATAGGCCCTAGGAGGCCCAACTCCTCAGAGATCTGAAGTTCCAATCTGCATTTCTGGGTTCACTGCGGCCCAGGATCATCTCAGAAGCCAGGGTGGTTTCCTAGAATTCTTGTCCATAGATTTCCTATCCCTTTGACCCTGAGACGTGTGCTAATCTCGACTTAAACTCCCAAGGAAACTCATTTAGGCTGCAAGCTGGGAAATCAATTAAAAATCTCTCCTGTAACTTCCACTGCAACGTGTTCTGTGTACAGGTAGCTGTGAAAATTAATAGTAGATGACAAAACTGCCTACTAGATTACTGACAGATAGTATGTATCCCATACTCACCCTGCTTCTTACCTTATATCAGAAAGGCAAGCCATCTTTAAAGTTTGGCAATAGCCAGACAGCAAGATCACTTATTTATAAGACACAAAAGAAAAAGAGAGCTCATTCAGGGGTTCCTCTGTGGGGCTGAGTGGAGGTTAGGGGAGGTCATGGGCACTGAGGCTTCTGGGGGACCTTCATGGTGGGGTGACCAGGCAGGGTAGCAGCCTCATCTGCCTGGAAAAAGGGGAGAAAGAAAAGAATTGCTTTGTTTCTGCCAGGCAAGGCCTGTGGGTAGCCCCTGTAGTTGGAGGACCGTGACGCTGCGCGTGCAGTACTTCTTAGACCAGGCTTCCCCACGATGCTATCTTGGGACTTGCACAAGGCAGCTCTGTGCTACCTCAAATCCAGGACACAGTGAGTAGAACAGGGTACCTGGTCGTGCACGTGCCTCTGCGCCCCCCCCCCCCCATCACCTTTGCTCTGTGTGCAGGAGCTGGATCAAGTATTAATTTGCACTTCACTGGCCCATTGATTATGGAAGTCAGGTCAATGGACTGACTTTATTGGCCACTTTTCTTGTAAAATAACGACATGATGTAAGTCTCCAGGAGAAATCTACAAACTAGAACTGTAATAAGGCTGAAACTTCCAAAAATAATAATAATCTAAGCTGAAATTTTACCTAAAGAATTATTGATTCCATTAACATCTCTAATGTAACTGCTGCTGTGGCTTGTGTCTAAATTACCCCTAAAGCCCCATGTGCTCATAGTGGGGCTTTTCAGAGGTGGCTGGATTTAGGGGTGTGAATATTATAGAGAGCCCTTTCTGGTCCTCGTCTTGGCCCCGGAAGTTTATATTTGTAATCCCATGGATAAGTTGCTGGAATCCCATCAAGTGAATTCCAGCCTACCACTTTCCAGTGTAACTCACGGGGAAAATAAAGACACGGAGGCATATGTGTAGTTATGGGGAGCCCAGGGGTCCCAAGTCCAGCCACGGTGATGGCTAGCCGGAACAAAGGCCTCAACCCAAGGCCTAATCCAGGTTTTATGCATTCCTGAAGAAAGAAGTGGCTTGAGGGTGAGTGACCGAAAGATGGCAGGAAGTGAGTGCGCGCTGGGCGCTGGGCGAGGTGGGGCCTACGTTCACCTCTGCGATATGCGGAGAAGGAGTTGAAGAGCCTGCTCTGCATTTCACAGCTGAGATAGCAGGGAACGATTTGGGGTCGGTGCTTCCACTCCGATGTGTGAACTCTCGGGCCCCCAGAAGTCATAGCCTCTATCTACAGGGTGGGTACCGGCTGACAGCTTGGCCCATTGGCTCTTCATCCCATCTTGACCCATGTCACCCTGGGGAGCAGCAGTTCCGAGTTCTGGGGAAGCACACCTGCCATCTTCAAAGGCTACCAGGAGCACCTTGGCTGGACCGATATCACTGCTTAAAGCCCACTGGAGGGAGGAGGAAAAGTGCTAGCCCGCTCGGCACATATCAGTACGTGGAAATAGGGTCAGGCACGGCCAACGCAGAGACGACTGCTCCTCCTCCAAGGACAGTCACCCAGGTGGCCCTCCACAAATATGGATTAGGGCTGGGTGATACTGCCCTGAACAGCAGCCTGCCTTTGTGTCGGAGAGACTGTCCGGCTGTCCATATTTCAGAGAACATCCTTTACTCCTTTTGTCACCTTGGAGATACTGACGTGGCCTGGAATGAAAGAAGATTGGGAGCTTAGCTCTCAAGTCCAGGACACCGTGGGCTTATCCGCGTGTGTGTCCCACGCTCCTCACCTTGGAGACTTTGTTCCTGAGGGCAGCGGCCTGCGGAGGTGGGGCTTTTGTAGTGGGGTGCAGGTCGTGGAGCCGTGGTAAACGCACGCACCCGGGCCTTTGTCAGGAAATGAACTCCAATCTCGGGTCACTTTCACCTGCTTTTGCTGTGGTCCGGAGCAAAGGGTGAAGAGGAAGCAGGGCCTAGGGACTTGGCGCGTTTGCGGCCCCCGCCATGTAGAAGGAGAACACTCCGAGTGCGGCCTGGTGACGTCTGCAGAAGAAATCAGAACCTAGGAGCCCCGTGCCAGCCACGGGCAGCGGGACAAAGGCCGGGAGGCACTTCAGGGCTGGGCTGATGGACGCGCGCCACCATGCCCGGCCTGGGCCTTGGTTTTGAGTCCTTCGTCCCTTCTCTCCACTCTGCCACGCGACTGCGCCCAGCACACCACCCAGCCCTTCTGAAGGCCTCTCCGGAGCGCTCACTGCCCGCCACCGCTGCCTCCCCTGAGCCAGGGCAGGACCTCACCCGCCCGGACGCCCGCAGGAGCCGCCGGCCTGGCTGTGCGCGCTTCCTTGCAGTCGGCCTGCCTTCGCTGCAGCCGCCCGTGTGCAAGCGCCACTTTGTGCAAGCCACGCGGCGCCTGAAACCCTGCAGCCGCTCAGCCTCACGCCCGCGCAGCGTCTGAGGCCCGCTCCCAGTCCGCTCCCCTCCTGTCCAAAGAACGTAGTAATGCGCCGTGTTCCTGTCAGCCACGGGGCCAGTGAAGCCGCTCCCCTGTTGCACACCCTTCCCCCAGTGTCCTCCCGAGCAGCCTGAGCGACTCCAATAGTCCAAGTCCTCCCCGCTGACCCTGAGCCCTGACTCCCTCCATGAAAACTACATTTCGTGGTCCGAGGACCTGACCGCGGTGGGTCTTGCTCGTTTATCTGATGGGCAGAGGCAGGGGCTCATTTATCTTTCCATTTCACCTTCAAAGCCCAGCGGGGCGCACGGCACACACAGCCCTCCTGTAAGTCTGTGACAGAATGAGCAATCAACGGTCACAGCACTCTGTCCGGGTCACAGCGAGTGGCGTGGCTGGGACCACGACCAGGGGTTCTAGTCTGCAGGCCGGATCGCCAGCCTCCTCAGCAAAGAGCCCGTCTGGAGCTGTGCTCTGAATCCAGGTACTGCCGCGGCTGTCCCACGGCCCACGCCCGGGCTCCACCCGCCTTTCTCCCCCGTGGTTGCTTAGCCAGAGCATGCCGTGGGCCGGTGACTGCTCTCCGTGAGCTCATGCGACCTGGCTGCTGTTTGCTCTAATACGGGAAGCCTTACCACAGTTTCAAACTTCGGAGATTCTAAGAAGGCTTCGGAGATTCTAAGAAGAAATACAAGGTGTAGACAAAGAAGAATGATTTGTCTCTTGCAGTAGAATTTCCTGTTCTGAGAATGCTGCTAATTTGAAGCCCAGTATCTCCAAGAGAACATTCTGTTAGTTAGGATCGTCATTATTATGTTCCCGACTGCGGTGGATATAGCTTCTCCTAACCATGAAATAGGAGAAAGCCATTTTGCCATGTGGAAGTGCCTTGTGCGCTTTTATAAATCCACACAAGATGCCTAGCGGTTCTCGGAGGCTGCTGTGTTTCTAAGGTAAATAGCTTACCCCCGCGTAAGCTCGAGGACCGCAGTGCTCAAGGGTCTTTGCTCCACGGACGAAAATGGAATCCTTATTTTGAACTCCCTCTGCCTACGTCAGTGACTATGACCTGCAGCCTGCCTGGTCGGTATAAGTACCCCGGAGTCATCCGGCAGAGGGTGGCAGGGTGACCTCCAGGGCTGGCTGAAGCCACACTCCGGTAAGCATCCTCACCTTGGGCCCAAGCTGCCTGGGAAGGGAGACACTGCACCACACTGCTGCGGGACACATTTGTCTACTCCAGATGTGCCTGCTGGGGCATTCTCAGCCTTGTGTGTCCGAGGTCTCTCTCTCTCTCTCTCTCTCTCTCTCTCTCTCTCTCAGTGTATTTGGTTGTTGCAAGGTCTCACTATGCAGCGCAGACTCGTGGTGATCCTCCTGCTTTCAGTCTCCCCAGCATAGGGATTACGCCCAGACTCTGGCCACCTATGGGCGGGCTGGTGCAGCGTGAGGTGCCAGGGATCAAACCACGTTCCCTGCACTTCCCTAAGCTTGCCCAAGCAGGCTCTCTCACCAGCCCCGATTCTTTTCCTTATGCCACTCAGCTATTTCCCCAAACCCTAATAGAAGGTTTCAAAGTTCAGTTAATGTTTTTAAATTTCCACTTCTTTGAGGACAGTAAAGTCTGCTTTTTTTTTTTTAAGTGAAATAGTTGTACTCAGATGTCCCTCAAGTTCTGGTTCTGGTCATCAAGAACTATGTCAGTCTAACGAGTGGGGTTTGGAGGGCTGCCTTTGCCGATGAAAAATGAATCTGGAAAAAGATGACTACAGCACATAGGAGACCCAGGGTGCCCTGCTCCTTTCTGGTCTTCCTTACAGAGGCTTCCTCTTTCTCTCACCCTCTCTGGCCCTCTCCTGGGAGCTTTCGCCACATCCCATCTCCTTCGTCACTCAACATTGAGGCACCATGTCCCGGGCGCCCCTCCTGCTGCTGTGTGTGGCCCTGGTGCTCTCTGGACATGTGCGAGGAACCGTGCCAAGAACAGAAGCCACGTGGAAGCCACTCAGCAACCCCAGAAACCGTGACCTGGTGAGGACACCCGGGCAAGCTGGAGTGGCCACTACCCGGAGTTCTGCTCTGCCTGCCCACAGCGGGGAGACCCCGGGGGTCGGGAAGTGAACCAGTAGGGTACGGCCACAGGTTTGCTGGCCCAGGTTCTAGTGTGTCTCAGGTCAGTTCACATTTGTTTCTCTAAGGACAAACAAACTGGTATTTGGCAATGACCTTGTTCATGTAGGGGACATCACATTTGTAAGCGGTCTTCTAAATTCATGATTTCTTTTTTGTCTTTTTGGGGTGAGGGGTCTTGTTGAGACAGGGTTACATTATGCAGTTCATTATGCAGAATTTTATTATGTGGTTCAAGCTGGACTTTAATTCATTTTGTAGCCCAACTTGGCCTTGAAATCACAGGGATCCTCCTGCTTCAGCCTCCTGAGTGCTGGGATTACAGGTGTGCACCACCACGCCTGGCTGTTTTCTAACATATATACAGAATCAGGAATGTGAAAGGAGATTGCTTTCTTGCACAACATAGATACAGCTGATGATAGAACAGATGAGCATTTTCTTTTTTTTTTTTTTTTCCACTAGTAGGAATCAAAAACTCAGGACCTTGCACTCAGATGAGCATCTTCAAAACTTAACTGCAACACATGGAAACTGATCCTGCGTTGGTATCAGCTTCCCAAGTATGTTTTCAACATATATTAATCATTAAAATAGAATCCAAAAGATCAATAAAAATTCTCTTTAAAAAGTATGGCATGAGGCTTGGGGTTTAGCTCACCTGCCTGGCAAATGCAAGGTCCTGAGTTCAATTCCTAGTAGGAAACAAAAATAACATAAAGTAAAAATAAAAAGTATGGCTGCCAGGCATGGCGTATGCCTGTTATCCCAGCACTCTGAGGCTGAGGCAGGAGGATGTTGCGAGTTTGAGAATAACCTGGCCTACAAAGTGAGCTCAAGGCCAGCCTGGACTGCACAGCAAGACCCTGTCTCAAAAAGACAACAACGAAAGTATGGCAAATACAATGAGCACACCGAGACAATTATTCAAACTGCAGTTCTTCTAAGGAAAATCTGCGCAATGGACAATGCAGAATCAGAACAAGCAGATAGCTCATTTCCAAAGGGAAGCCTGCAAGGCCCGCGCCCCCACAGCGTGCTGCAGCTGGGCGCTGCCCACCGTGGGGTGGACGCCACCTGGGATCGCAGGGAGCAGAGCATTTACGCCGCAGCCTCTGCTCGGGTGCTGTCAAACAACTCTGCCCTTGGCTTCACCGCACTGGTGAACTCTCTGCTTGTGCCTAGCGCCAGCAACAAGGTAGCGGAGGGGCGGAGGAGCAGGCAAAGCTCCTGCGCTGGGCTGCCCTCTTGGGACTATCAAGTCCTCGCTCCCCGATTACCCTTACAGTCTGCAGGGCCTGGGGGACCTTGGAATAATTTTAGCATGTGGCTTCCACATGGCACTGAACATTTCCTTTCTCTCTTTAGTTTTTCAGGAGGCTTCAGGCATATTTTCAGAGCAGAGGTCTTGATCTTGGGAAATTTCCAAATACTTTCTCCATAAACGAGAATCCCAGGCCGCTGTCTTTCCAGGCTGGGTTTCTTGCTTCTGCCTTTGCGGACTACAAAGGACAGAGAAGCTCCCTTCCCAGCGACCATAGAGGTGGATGGCTTCTTCAGGGCTCAGGTGAAAGTCGTCCCTTTGTCCGAGGATCTTCTCAAACACAACAGTCAGCCATAAATTAGAAATCTGGAAAGTATTTGAAAAATGATTTTCCTTCCTCCTAGAAATAAGTGTTCAGGTCTGACTATACTCATCACTTAAATAATTGGGTTTGAAAAAATAATAATTGGGTTTAGTTCAGCTATTTTAGAGTCTGGTTTTAAAAATAAATGATAGTTGTGATTTTTTTTAAACCATAACTTTCTAGGGAGAAATATATTAAAACAACAGAATCATCTATCTTAGTAATATTATTGGGCTGGGGAGATGGCTCAGTAGCATAAGCACTTGCCTGGCAAGTGCAGGGTCCTGAGTTCAATCCCTGGTACCACCAAAAAAAAAAAAAAGTATTATTAAATTAATGAAATGGCACACTTTTACTTATATGTATTTTTTTTTCAGGCCAGGTCATAGTGTTAAGTTATATGGAAAAATCAAATATAAAAAATTATGTCAAGACTGGGCATGGTGGTGCATGCCTATAATCCCAGCACTAGGGAGGCTGAAAACAGGAGGATCCTTAGGAGGCTGATCTGTGTAGTGAGACCCTGCAGGCCCTGTACTAAGAAACACACACACACACAAAAAAAATGTCCAAAATGAGCTGTTGGATTAAGTAGGAAATGAACATTTAGAGAATGGTTCTTTTAAAATGAAAGCATTATATATATATATATATATATATATATATATATAATCTTTCAGCTCAAATTGTTCTGACTTAAAGACAAATGAGGTAACTTATTAGTAAAGATGATACTGTTTTCTTTTTTGTCTTTTCGAGACAGGGTCTCACTATGCAGCTCAGCCTGGCCTTCAGCTCACTTTGTAGCCCGGGCTGGTCTCGAATTCACAACAATTCTCCTGCCTCAACCTCTTGAGTGCTGGGATTACAGGCATGTGCCACCATGTCTGGCAAATATGATGAGTTTTTAAAATGATTTTTATAATAAACATGAGATGCAATTTGCCATGTAGAAAATGAACTTGAGTGTAATCCCAGCTATTTGGGAGTCTGAAGCAGGGAAGATTGTAAATTCAAGGTCAACATGGGCAATTTAGAGAGACTCTGTCTTAAAAATTAAAAATAAAAAAGGTTGGGGATGTAGCCCAGGAATAGAGAAGTCTTGGTTCAACCCTCAGTAATGGATAAATACCTAGATACAAAAATATGTTTACAAATATAGGTAGAAAATAGTGTTGAGGCTGGGGATGTAGCTGCACAGCGCCTCCTTGGCAAGCACAAAGTCCTGAGTTTGATTCCAAGTACCAAAAAAGAAGGAAGAAAGGAAAGAAGGTAGGAAGGAAGGAAGGAAGGAAAGTAGGTAGGAAGGAAGGAAATAAACAAAAGAAGTGTTAACAAGGCTTTCCTAAACTGTTTTGCACACGTAAGTCCTTGGGGGTCTGACACCTAATCAGTAAGTTGTTACTGACAGCATAGCTCCTGATTTAGTGTGAGGCACATAAGTTGTTTATAAATATCAATATTTCTGTCTGTAAATGACAGACACTGACTTCTACCTCCTAAAAAATATTACAGCAAATACCAAATAGCTAATCTGCATGTGTGTGGAAGAGGGTGACAGGGGTGGGCAGGAGACAGGAAGAGCCAGCTGGTGGTGTCACGATGCAGGAACTAATATTCAACTTGATGAAAGTCTGGGCTTCTGGTTGGGAGTATATTTCACCACTGAGAGCTACATATTCCCAACGTCTCCAATTAGAAAGTGAAAATAGGAGGATGGCTGTGAGCTTGAGGCCAGGCTGGGCTCCAAAGTGAGCTCAAGGCCAACCTGCACTGCAGTGAGACCATGTCTCCAAAAAAGGGAAAAAGAAAAAAGTGAAAACATAACGTTTCATGAAACATGTTAATCTGGTAATCTTTGTGTCGACCACTTTCATGTTCTGTCCTTTATAACATTTGCCGTTCTTTCAGGTCCAGCTACTGTGAAACTGCAGAAACTTGTCCTCGGAAATAGGCAGCCCTGACCGCGGCTACGGCTCTGTGCGTGTTTCCCTTCCACCTGTCTCCATTTGTAATGATTTCATTCTGCACTTTTGGATTTACATATAAAAAGCTGGGTCTTTGGAACATAAGTGATTTAGTGTGTGTGTGTGTGTGTGTGTGTGTGTGTGTGTGTGTGTGTGTGTTTGAAGTGTTTTTCTTTCTATAACCATAAATAATGATGCTGAGCATTTTCTGAATTAAAAAAAAAAGATGTAAGTTGAAAGGAGATGACAATCTTCCAAATTAGATTTTTTGTTTGCCTTTAAAACTTGCTTTTAATATTTACCTTTTACTAATCCATATTTTTATTTGAAAGGGATTTTGCTTATTTTTATTGTAGCTGATATGTAATAGGTTTCAATTTTGTTTCCTAGAAGTGCAGCCCCACTTGCAGTGTACCCTACTGAAGGACTCCACAATCATACCCAACGAGGGTAAGCAGTACAATATCAACAACAGAATTGAAATGGAAAGCAAAGAGATTCTGGGAGCTGGCCTCTCTGGGAGACATGCTCACGCTACCATGTACAGGGGCAGACATCACATGACACCTGAGTTCTCACTACACCGGCCCCTACCCCCGCCCCCAACATACAGAGCGTCCTCAGGAGAAGGCAGTGTGGGGACAGGCAGGTCCCTCCTTTCCCACCTCCTGTCCCTCAGCCTCTCCACTGCCATACTCTTCTTTGAAACAACCACCTTTCCTGGATCATTATGGGTAGCTGCCTCCCTTCCTCTGCAATTCCCGCCAGACAGCACTGCACTAGAAGGCAGGCACCAGCATCCGTCCCCATAACCATCATCTGTACTTTCCAAAATTGCTTGCTGGGATGTGTTTGTGTATCACTGACACTGAATATCAAGAATAAAATATCTATGCAAGAGCACATCCCATGTCCACAGTCATATCCAATGAGGGTAAACAATACAACATCAACAACAGAATTTGTGTTCTCTAGAATTGAGGAATGAATTCTAGGAACAACGGTGTAGAGATCTGTTGGTCTCTCTGTGTGATCCATTAGAAACAGCAGCAGGAAAGAGGAAAAGATAGTCAAGAAGACAAGAGTTGGCTTAGGTGGTGCCTTGTCTGTCTGGTTGAAAAAGCAATCCCCTGAACAATAGTAAGAGCCTTTATTTATACTTTTACAGTTGCAAGACACAAGGTTGTCTAGTGAATAATAGCCCACAATGTCTAGGCAGGATTTTTTTTTTTTAAAGACTGAGGCAGCTTGACTGCCATAGGAAATGAGGCTTCATCCTGCCCTCCCACATAGGCTCAGTTTCAGCTCCAGTGGCTCCCTACATCTCACCCTTTTTTGTTTCGTTGTGTGAGTGAGGGTGTTTTGTTGTAGCAAGAAGCTGTGTTTGGAGTTTGGAGAAAACTCTGTAAAAGAACTTTTTCTATTTGATGACAGCCTAAAGATTTTTGGTATTTGTATTTAGCAGTTTTACCCTATATAGTCTAATAACAACAGTGAGTTATTAGTATAGCTGGCAACTGTCTGAAGTTGTTAGTGATTTGAGCCTTTTATAGCTTAACATGTTATTATGGAATTTTTTTATATCTCATGGTTATATTTTTTTGTTGGATGGCTAAGACCAAGTTAAAGCAAGACCTGTAAAAATAAAAATTTAACTATTGTTATCTAACAAGATTAGTTAAATCTCCTCAGGAGTTACCTCAGCAACTCTTAGATCTTCTGTCAGTGTCAGCCATCTGGATGAGTCACAGTCATTGCTTGACTAATTTGCTTTTTTGTGGAAGCTTAAGAGATATATTCTTTAGGTGACTCTCCTTAGGCACACAATGCATCATTGATCACTCTTCTGTGGTCTCATAAACTCTTTAATCAGAAAATTAGGGACTCATTTGAGTTACAAGATGTCACAGCAGAGGTTATTTTATGTCTTGAGTCTTTATTGACCTTGCAGAGCTAGGGCCAAAACATTGGCTTCCTTTGTAACCCATCTATCTCTCTAATTTTTGGTCTCTAAACTTTGTTAAACATCTAGAAGAAAAGCTTAATGACATTACCCTGTAATGGAGGCAGTGAGCTTAACATTATTAAACCCATTAGACATAAAATGGAACTGTTATTTTTTAACAGCTATTGATATTTTAATATTTAAATCTCTATAGAATGTGAAAAGATAGAGGCCAGGGAGATAGCTCAGAAGCAAAAGCACCTACCTTGGCAAGCACAAGGACCTGAGTTCAATCCCTGGCCCCACGTGCGCTGCAGTCTCGGCCCCAGATGCAGGTGCTCACCATGCACCCTGGACCTGGTGTGGTGGTGCATGCCTGTAATCCCAGCACTCCGGAGGTTGAGACAGGAGGATCTCTGTGAGTTTGAGACCAGACTGGGGGATACAAAAGTGAGCACAGGGCCATCCTGAACTGCACAGCGAGACCTTGTCTCAAAAAGAATGTTAAAAGACAACAATCATATATATGCTGAGCTATCTCACCAGTTCAACAATTATATATTTTAATAGAGAAATTTAGAAATCTCAGGCAAGTGCAGGGTTTGATCCCTGGCACCACATGCCCCGCAGTCCCTGCCCCTGGGTGCGCTGAGCCGGCCATGGGCGTGGTGATACATGCCTGTGATCCTCGTGCTGAGGAGGCTGAAAACAGGAGGATCACTGTGAGCCTGAGCTGCATAGTGAGACTCAGTACCAAATACATAAAAAGAAGGAATTTAGAAATTAAAACTATATATAATATTGTAACAAAAATATTGTAGCAAGACAACATGACATTTTGTGACATCAATTTTTGTTTTGACATAACACTTTTGACCAATCATCTCTATGTAATATATAAGAAATTTTTACTTAATTAGTCATCTTTAAATAGGATATATATCACAAGTTTTCTTTGTTAAAGGCAGAGGTCTGAATTTGAAAGTCTTACCACAATAAATAA